AGGTCTAACTGGTCTGTTGTAGAGTAGTTCATGAATGAGTAACTGGAATGGTGGTAATGTCTGTGTAGAGTATTCATGATGAGTACGACTGGAATGGGTGGTAATTGTCTGTTGTAGAGTATTCATGATGAGTACACTGGAATGGGTGGTAATTGTCTGTTGTAGAGTATTCATGATGAGTACACTGGAATGGGTGGTAATTGTCTGTTGTAGAGTATTCATGATGAGTACACTGGAATGGGTGGTAATTGTCTGTTGTAAAAAAAAAAAACCCAAAAAGATGAGGGCAACGTTTCTAGTCTTTCATCTTCAGTTCAGTGTGCGTAAGTTGTTGCAGGTCTTTTATAGTATTGTGGTGGACTGTGGAGGGCGTGTTGTGATTGTTTGTTTATCCCTTGTTTTAACTGGGGGAATGACTGCATGAGGTTTCAACCAATGGTAGCTATAGGTTGCTCACCCCTATTCCCAAATCTCTGTTTAGTGAAAGCTTTATTGTATTGATGTAAAAATATTCTTTATTTTTTTGTTTTCCAAAATTTTTCTGTGTCAATTATTCTAGTAAATTATTATCCCAGTTTATTTTGTGTCCAGTTGATACGGTGTGTTCTGCAATGGCTGGATTTTGTTTTTCATGAGTTTTGGGCTGTCTTTATATTCTTTAATTCTTGTCCCAAGTTGTCTTCCCATTTCTCCAATGTATGTTTTGTTGTAGGAACATGAAACTTCATAGATTACATTTTTGTGCTTTTCATAAGTAGGTTTCTTTTTGTTTTCATAGAATAGATCTTATTGTCTTGTAAGATTTCCACCAGACATCTATATTGAACTTTTTGGCTATGCATTTCAGTTTTTCACTGAAATTTTGCATGTGTGGGAGGTAAATAGTAGTTGTGATGTTCTTCTTCTTATCTTTTCTTTCCATTGTGGTCTTCTTCAGTGAGTTCTTGATGAAGGTAGAGGTGTAACTATTCTGTTTAAAATACTCTATGATCTTTGGGCATTCTGTTTTATGGTTGTCTCATTTAAGTGTTTTCTGCTCTCTTGTTTAGGCATTAGATTATACCATGTTTTACAAAGGTTGGATGATAGGACTGAAAGTGTAGGTATCTGTCAGTGTGGGTGGGTTTTCTGTATACAGTTGTGGTGATGTGTAGATGAGGGGACTCTTTCTTCAGTCTTCCATGAAAATGTCTGCTAAGACCATCCATTTATTCATTATATTGAAGGTAAGTCCTCTACCATGATACCATAAACGACTGCAACAGCTTAAACACACTGACCTGAAGATGAAAGACTTTCAACACATTGCCCTCATCCCTTTTGGGTTTTTTTTACAACAGACAATTACCACCCATTCCAGTGTACTCATCATGAATACTCTGCCTAAACAATCTAATAAAGAAGTTATTTTTTGTCAGATTTTGGCCAGATGTTCAGGTGTTCTTTGGGTGTCAGTCTACTGTGTGACATGCTAAGTTAGTTCTTGTCAGAATTTGGTCATGTATTCGGGTGTTCTGGTGTCAGATTACTTTGTGACACTAAATTGTGTCCTGTTAGAAAACAGTCAAATGGTCAGATGCATTTCTGGTGTCACAGTACACACACAGTAATCAGAGTTTCACATATCTTACGATCAAATTTTTTTTTGGTCAGATGTCTTTTTATATCATACTATTGTTCTAGTGTACAAAGTAATTATTCATTTACTAGAGCTTCATAGATCTCAGATTTCTTTCTTAGTTTATAATTATTGCTTGAAGCATGTTGATTAAGGATTCTTTAAAGTTGCCAATGCAATTAGAACAAAATCAGCTTTTTTATAAGATTCTTGTAATGATGATAGTGTATTAGGGGCAAATAACAGAAATGTCATATGTGAATTTATATACTCTTATGTTGTGGAGCTAAACCACCTCATAGAGGTTAGATGTTAGACTTAAAGACATCTTAGTAATTACTAGGCATCTCAAAATTGGGATATAAAGTTATTTATTTCCCATAGAAATAACTTCTCATCTAATACTATTGCTAACCTGTAACCATCACCATGGAATAGTTAATCAAAAAATAGTTACTGGATCATAATGTTTCTACTCTTTAGGTTTTGTTCATTTGAGATCTATATTATTGTTTACAAAAATGTGTTCAAATTTCAACTTTTTAGGCAAACCTTATCACAGATCATGTGGATGCTATTACACCTGTTACAAGTGCAATACAAACCCAGTATGCACAGCTTCAAAAACAACATCAAGACTTCGTAACTCACCTTACGAGTCGCATACAGCAGCTGCAGGTAAGCTAAGGTTCATTTAAGCTGTCAATGACTTAGACAACTTACCTTGTACTCCTTAAATAAAAGTAAAAGAAAACTTGCTGTGTGAATTTCAGTTAAGAAAAAAAAGTGTTGTGTTATTGTGAAATATATTGCAAATTTTATTTTCTTGTGAGGGAAAAACTAATTCTTTATATGTCATTTAAAAAAAGTATCTCTTAAAGCTTACTGGTATTTTTAACCCTCCAAGGTATGTATAATTTGTGAAATGATATTCTCCCACAAAAAGCAAGTGTCGGTGTTGCAACTGATTCGAAGAAGAAGCGCAGATATAAATTATGCAATATACTTACCTGATTATCCTTTTTTTCTTTTATTAATAACAGTTTGCCCCTGCATTCCAGTCCCAGCCTCAAGGGCAGGTTACTGCCTCTCAACCACAGACACAGCAGCAAGTACCAGCGCATACTCACCAGTCTTATCCATTGATCCATCCTGCACCGACAGAATCTCCTTCATACTCTCAAACTTCACTGCCTGGTTCTCAACCTCCAACTAGTGTTCCACCCTGTCAAGGTCAAGCTCCTGGTCTAGGCTTGGGATCAACTTCACTTTCTAATCCACCAGGTGCCAGTTTTATGTATATTCATTATCATATTGATGAACACAAGATTTAAGTTAAATAAAAGTAAGGAAAAAAAAGTTAAAGTACAAGATCAATGAGAAAAATATCAATTTAGTATCATATTTGTTTTTGCTGCTGTTTACAATAATTTTACAGCTTTAATAAGATTTTCAGTTTGTGTGAAAACCAACGTTACATGAGAAACTATTACTATGAATTCATGTTTTCAAAAGAACTTAGAAACATACTTTCAAATCAGGTAGACTTGCTTCTGAAATAATGTAAATCTTTTCTTGTTGAGTTGTTCTTACTCTGTTAATCACATCACTTTTGGTTCTAAATGTTCTTGAAGCAATGCATTACACACGTTGCTTTTACCTAAGTTCACCTACCTTCCACGTGATTTACTTTACAAGCTCAGGGGGGAACTATGTAAACCCAACTTTCCTGCCATAAATCAGAAATTCTTGTTGACATGTGTGCTGTAAACTTTCCATCTTCATCTGCTCTGTAAAAATTTATTTTTAATTTTATCTTTAACTCTCTCAACACAGGCTCGATTAAAGTCTTTATAGATTTAATTCTTCCAACTTTCAATATAGTGTGTATATATCTTCACTAAATTTGGCAGTCTTTCAGTTTGTATTATAAGTCTTTCGCATACAAAAAATCATATTTTTTAGTGAAGTATTTTTTAATAAAATAAAATAAAGATTTGTCCATGAATATAGTGAGTATTTGTTTTGAATAGTCCTTGTGCAAAGTAATTTTTGTTAAAATTAAAAATAGTTTTTCTCATCTCAAAAATCTCAAATTTCCTTTGTGTAATCCCTAAAACCTCCTAAATGCATTTCAAACTTTATAGTTTATATGTTAGGAACTACCTTATCCCTAAACAGGATTGGTCAGTTCGACCAACCTCGTAACCACCAAACAAAAAATCAAAATATACCTAAATTACCCTTTTTTTCTTTCTACAATGACTTCAAATTGTAACATGAAATTACATTCATTTATTCTAAGTAACTTCAAGTTTGTAACAGTATACATCTATTTATAATTACATTTTATTGTTATATTGCTCTTTGAACTGTGTCAAACTACTGTACATGCCATTATAACTTGTATATCACTTGGAGAATGTACAGCTCACGTTACGCTGTCGAATTACATTACCCACAAGCTGCTTGCGTCATGCCTTGTGAAC